CCCCGAATTGCTAGTCGAGGGTGGACTTGCAACTAGGGCAACTGCAAAACTACACCCTCCCGAGTTGCAAGTACACGGTTGACTTGCAACTGGGGCGATTACAAACTACATCCCTCGAGTTGCAAGTCGGGGGTGGATTTGCAACTGGGGTGAAAAATCAACAAACAACACCCTTTCGAGTCGCGATTACATGGTTGACTTGTAACTAGGGTGATTACAAACTACATCCCTCGAGTTGCAAGTCAGAGGTGGACTTGCAACTGGGGTGAAAACATGCAACAAACAACACCCTCCCGAGTTGCGAGTACATGGTTGACTTGTAAATGGGGTGATTACAAACTACATCCCTCGAGTTGCAAGTCAGGGGTGGACTTGCAACTGGGGTGAAAACAAAACAAAACCCTCCCGAATTGCGAGTCAAGGGTTGACTTGCAACTAGGCTAACAGAAACCCCTAGTTGCATGTCGAGGGTCTAATTGCAACTACTATTAAGCAAGAACAAAAAGGAACACCCCCTGAGTTGCGAGTTGATGGTGGACTTGCAACTAGGGCAACTACAAAACTACACCCTCCCATGAGTCGGGGATGGACTTGTAACTAGGACAACAGCATACTATGAGCTCAGTTGCGAGTTGAGAGTGGACTTGCAACTAAGATGAAAAACAAAAATAGAGGCCCAGTTGCGAGTTGAGGATGGACTTGCAACTAGAACAACAACAAACTATGGGCCTTACCTGCAAAAAAAACTATGGGCCTAGTTAGAGTCGGGGGTGAACTTACAACTTTGGCAACAACAAAAGTATGAACCTAGTTGCGAGTCGAGGATAGACCTGCAATTAGGACAACTATGAAATAGTGCACCCAGTTGCGAGTAAATGCTCGACCTACAATTCGGATGAAACAAACTATGGACCTAGTTGCGAGTCAAAGGTGGACTTGCTACTGGAGTGTAAAATAAAAGACATGTCTAGTTGCGAGTCGAGGGTGGGCTTGCAATAGGGAGAACTATGAGGCCAGTTGCGAGTCGAATGTGGACTTTCAACTGAGACAGCTACGAAACTACTAACCCAGTTGCGAGTCAAGGGTCGACATGCAACTGGGATCAAACAAACTACTATCCCAGTTGCGAGTCAAGGCTGAACTTGCAACTAAGATGAAAGACAAAACACAGGCTAAGTTGCAAGTCAAAGGTGGGCTTCTAACAAGGATAAACAAACTGTCGGCCTTGCTAGTTACGAATCAATGGTGGACTTGTAACTGGGACAATTGTACAAAACTATGATATGAGTCGCGAGTCAACGGTGAGTTTGTAACTTGGATAACTACAAACTGTGAGCTTAATTGCGAGTCAAGGGTAGACTTGCAACTGTGATAAAAAACAAACCACATGCCCAATTACGATTCAATGGTGAGCTTGTAATTGGGACAACTACACAAAACTACGATACGAATTGTGAGTAGAGGATGGATTTGTAACTATAACAATTACAAATTATGAGCCGAGTGACGAGCAAAAGATGGACTTGCAACCAGGATGAAAAACAAAATATGGACCCAGTTATGAGTCTGAAGGTAGACTTGCAACCGGGACAAGCACATAACCTACCTCCTTGACTTCTACGACATTGTCAAATGACATGGGCACACACGAACGCGTGTAGAAAAATGCCCAATAAAAAACATATGTACAACACGGATGGGATGACAAACGAACAAAAGGGGACAACGCGTTAGAGGAATACATCGGCCGAAATGCAAGATCAAAAATTTGCACTAAGTTACAACAACAAGATCCGTTGGACAACAACTCAGATGAAACATTGCTCATTTTATCTTGATAAAGCATAGAAGAAATGAGAGACAATGTGAAAATGAACAGAGAAGGTAACAACCATGATAGACCTTTGCTTTTTCTTGTCTCTTCTAATTCTACGACGTGGCCTAGAAACAAGGTAGCGAAATATGGGCCGAAAAGTATGAAGCCAAACTGACCAACAAAAGGATGCGCGACAAACAAAATATCGACCAACAAGGCGGGGATAGCGCTTGCAAAAAAATTACAAAAACTGAATCAACCGGTAAAAACGTAGATAAGACATCATAAAAAATCATCTAGATGTGATTTTGCAATTTAGTATAAAATTTTCGACTGGATAAATGGAGGACAAAAGCCACAACACGCACCAGACAGAACAAATTACATGAACCGTACAATAATTAATCATGTGCAGAGAAGTAGCAAATAGTAGATCTGATTTGTACAAAAAAATTCAAAAAATTATAAAGCTTTCTTTTAGAAAATCACGAACAACTCACATTTTTGAAGGCAAACGGACAACTCGCATTTTTTTGAGGTGGTCGAACAACTCACATGGACGTGAAATGGTCGGGGGACAAAGAAAAAACCCAGGCCCAAACACTGACGCAGGGAACACAGGCCAACAAACAACGACTAAGGACATAATGGGCCCAACAAACGCAACAGCAATGTGAGCACAACGGACATGATAACTACGCAAGCACATAATGGACGCGGCAAACTACAGGAATCAAGGGCTCACATGAAAAACAAAGACTGCGGATCAGACGGTGAGGGACTTAGATGTGAGACACCAACAAAAATCACGAGTTTTTGAAAAGGTGAAAAAAAAAGAAAAAAAAGGTTGGAAGCTTCTCCCAAAACTAGTTAAAAAGCCCTTCATGGGTCAGCTCATTCACACATGTACGCTCCTGGGGGACAAAAAACCAAACAATTGGCAGGTAGCAGGAAACTATACAAGGACATAGTACGACTAGACAAACTTTCCTCTCTGAAAAAAAAACAATTCCCGTTTTCGCTGGCAGAAAGCCCATAAAGAACAAAAACAGGAGACCCACAAAAAACAAAAAGCCCACAACGGGCAGGCGGGACAAGAGGCCACAGCTGCCATGAACGGAGACCTCCTACACAGGACACGGGCTGGACACGGGATGCCCCGCGCGACGCCAGCGACCGCGAGCGAGCCGAACAAAGTGCGCGAATCTTAAACACAAAACAAGATCCGATGGTCCTAGATTTAAATGTGAGATAATTATTTCACATTTAGATGTGAAATAGCAAACCTGCATAAAAAAAACCCTAGCAAACTTACATGCTGAAGTACATCGTCTGAGGCAACCATGGGCGCGAGGTTCGAGCAGCGGGCGCGGGACGACGAAGCCTGCTGCAGATACTACTGCGACTTGTTGTGCCCGGCTGCCCTGCCGATCCTCCTCCTGCTGCCCTTCTTTTTTGGCATATATTGGCTCGCGACGGAGCCGCCGCCGCCGTGGTACTCCGTCGCGGTCGGCGCCGTCTCGGGCATCGACCCGGCCACGGACCTGCAGGGCCAGGGTGCGCTCGACCCGGCGTTCAACCTCACCGTCCGCATCGACGCCTCGCTGAGCGGCCAAGGCGGCGCGCCGTACTGCCTTGACAAGGGCACTTCCGTGCAGGTGTCGTATCTCCGCGTGCCGCTGGCCAGCGGGCATGCGCCGGAGCCGGGCGAGGGGGCATGCGCGGCGGCGGGGCAGCGAAAAGACCTGCACGTCGTGGCACGCGGGAGGGGCGTGGCCGTACCGGGGTTCCTGCTGGACAGCCTTGCCGAGGACGTGCGGCGCGGGGTGGCCGTGTTCGAGGTCACGCTCATGAGCCCGCGCGTCGATCAGGGCGACTGGAAGGTGTTGACGTGCTGGGGGAAGTCCGGCGACGACGCCTCCCTTCAGGTCCCGTGCGTAAAGTCCTAAGTGGATGCCGGCCCGCTGGTGCCGCCGCGCCCGGTGGCTCACGATGCCGCCCTGTGGCTCCTGCAAGAACATGAGCGCTGGAGTGTAATCTTGCGACAGTAGAACAGGAGATGCAGCCTATCACTCTTTCAATTATGATTAGGTTCTCGAGCTGTACGTATACAACATATCTTTTTTCCTAAATACTCCTACTTAAACATGCAGCTGCTCTATCTCGACGGTGCGAGCGCATGCACTAGACGACAAAAGTAGTTTGATGTCTATAATAAACGTGTTATCCAGTGGGTAGTGTAAAGTTGCGCATGTATGTGCCAACGTCATCTTTTTATTCTGTTTTAATTTTTCAAAAAGTTACAACTTTTGAACCGAGCGTCAGAACACATAACTGTTTTCACCGTTGAGTTCCTCGTGATGAGCTCTTCAAAACTAGATCCCATATGAATATGTTTTGATGATTTTTTTTCAAAAGCAACTTTGATGCTGGATGAAGCAACTTTAGTGCTAAACATGAGCAACTCTGATGCTAGATGAATTGCACTGTGTGTATTACTAACTTCACTTAGTAGCCACCTAGTTAGTTATGTGCAACAGTGTAATAGGTGCTCACCATGATTTCTAAGTTGCATACATTGGAAAATAAGTTGTGGATTGTTTAGTTGCCTATCATACTGTGAAAGTTTCTTACCGTAGAGTGGAAACTTGTCGAACATGGCTTCTAAGTTGTCTACCTCAGAAACCAGGTTACCCTTTCAGTACGAAGTTGCCTACGCGTGATCCTCAATTTCTTACAATACTATGAAAGTTGTCCATCAAGGGACCTAAGTTGCCTACAATATCGAAAAAAAATTGTGGGATCTAAGTCATCTATCATGATTTCAAATTTTGAACTATGTGGGGATGGGTGGTATGAGATCTGTGTGCTTTCCTTTTCTAGGGGAGTCTGCCCGCCAACGCTACTGAGCTCAAGGGTGTTGGCTAGCCAGGTCATGATGGGCTCTTGAAAACTAAACCCACATGGACATGTTTTCATGACTTTTCTTTCTCTCGAAAAGCAACTTAGACGCTAGATGAGACAAGTTTAGTGCTAAACAGAAGCAACTACACTCCAATTTAAAGTAACTGGTTACCAACAATGAGCCACTAACTAGTAATAGAGAATAACTTTGAACAGAGGTAGGCAACAACATATCACCTTTATAAGGAACTTTCTTTCTATGAGAGACAACTTTAGTGCTAAAAATAGGCAACTTCACTACACTTTCTCCTAATTAATTTTTTCTAACATTCTCCTAACTTCCTCGCTGATACTTCTAAGTTGCATATTCTCCTAACTTCCTCACCGGTACTTCTAAGTTGGATATTCTCCTAACTTCATCACCGGTACTTCTAAGTGGCATGTTGTTCATGCTTGTATGTTGTTGTTTCTAAACTTCCTATAACACTATGAAGTCGTCTACCATTGGTACTCTTATGTCTGCTATTGCTAACTATGACAGGCAACTTGGTGGTCAATTTTGGCAACTTTAGAGTGTTTGCAGGAAACTTAGAAAAACAATGATAAACCACTTCACAATATTGTAGGCAACTATTTCTGCAAAGTTAGGCAACTGAGCAGCAATGATAGGCAACTAATTACCGATAGTAGGCAACTAGGCATCAATGGTAGGCAATTTACAATATTTATAGGCAACTGCACATCAATTGTAGGCAACTGACTATCAAACAATAGGCAAATGAGCAACCATGATAGGCAAGTTGGGATATGTTAGTAAAATTCACAGGTACACATAGTGTAGTGAAGTTGTTTTGTATGTAGCACTAAAGGGGCCTTATCTTTTGTGTGATTTGTCTTGTTTTTACGCAAACAAACCTAATAGGAAGTCCTACTAGGCCAAAGACAAGAAGTTGCTTCCCTATAGCACGATAGTTGCCTCCTTCGCACCTAAAGTTGTCCTAAAAAAAGTATCCAATTGCCCACAATCAACCATATAGTTGCCTACAACAAAATATCCAGTTGCACACAATCAACAAATAGTTTTTTCAAAACCATGTATCCAGTTTCCCGATCCTCACAAACAGAAATATTTACCAAGACCATTATTTGGTAAATATCTAAATGTTCTAGATACCTGTAATTAAGTTTGGGTCATAGAGGGGAGTCAAGATTTTCCTCTCCTCGGGTGGGATCCCTGTTGGGGAACGTAGCAATAATTCAAAAAAAATCCTATGTGTCACCAAGATCAATCTAGGAGATGCTAGCAACGAGAGAGAGGGAGTGCATCTTCATACCCTTGAAGATCGCTAAACGGAAGCGTTGCAAGAACACAGTTGGTGGAGTCGTACACGCAGCGATTCAGATCGCAGTCGATTCTGATCTAAGCGCCGAACAACGGCGCCTCCGTGTTCAACACCCGTACAGCCCGGGGACGTCTCCTCCTTCTTGATCCAGCAAGGGGAGAGGAGAAGTTGAGGGAGAACTCCGACAGCACGACGGCGTGGTGGTGATGGAGCTCGTGGTTCTCCGGTAGGGCTTCGCCAAGCGCTGTAGAGGAGGAGGAGGTGTAGGAGAGGGGTAGGGGCTGCGCCAAGGGAAGGGTCTAGGTGTTCTGGAAGCCCTCCCACCCCCACTATTTATAGGAGAAGGGGAGAGGGGGCCGGCCCCTTCAGATCCCATCTAGGGGAGGGGCGGCGGCCAGGGAGGGAATCCTAGATGGGTTTTGGGCGCCCGCACCCCTAGGAGACTTGCCCTCCAAGCCAGAAGGGGAGGCTGCCCTAGGGGAGGCGCCCCCACCTCTCCTGGTTACGTGAGATGGGGTGGGAGGGGCGCACAGCCCCTTAGTGGGCTGGTGTGCCCCTTCCCCTTGGCCCATAAGGCCCCACAACACTTGTCGGGGCCTCCAAAACCCCTTTCGGACACGCTGGTCGTCACCCGGTACCCCCGGAACAATACCGGACTCTAATACCCTTCGTCCAATATATCGATCTTCACCTCCGGACCATTCCAGAACTCCTCATCACGTCCAGGATCTCATCCAGGACTCCGAACAACCTTCGGTAACCACTTACTATTTCCCATAACAACTCTAGCGTCACTAAACCTTAAGTGTGTAGACCCTACGGGTTCGGGAACCATGCAGACATGACCGAGACATCTCTCCGGCCAATAACCAATAGAGGGATCTGGATACCCATATTGGCTCCCACATGTTCCACGATGATCTCATCGGATGAACCACGATGTCGGGGATTCAATCAATCTCGTATACAATTACCTTTGTCTATCGGTATGTTACTTGCCCGAGATTCGATCGTCGGTATCCCCATACCTCGTTCAACCTCGTTACTTGCAAGCCTCTTTACTCATTTTGTAACGCATGATCCCGTGGCTAAATCCTTAGTCACATTGAGCTCATTATGATGATGCATTACCGAGTGGGCCCAGAGATACCTCTCCGTCATACGGAGTGACAAATCCGAGTCTCGATTCGTGCCAACCCAACAGACACTTTCGGAGATACCTGTAGTGCACCTTTATAGCCACCCAGTTATGTTGTGATGTTTGGTACACCCAAATCATTCATACGGTATCCGGGAGTTGCACAATCTCATGGTCTAAGGAAATGATACTTGACACTAGAAAAGCTTTAGCAAACGAACTACATGATCTTGTGCTACGCTTAGGATTGGGTCTTGTCCATCACATCATTCTCCTAATGATGTGATCCCGTTATCAATGACATCGAATGTCCATGGTCAGGAAACCATGACCATCTATTGATCAACGAGCTAGTCAACTAGAGGCTTACTAGGGACATGTTGTGGTCTATGTATTCACACATGTATTACGGTTTCCAGTTAATACAATTATAGCATGAACAATAGACAATTATCATGAACAAGGAAATAAAATAATAACTATTTTATTATTGCCTCTAGGGCATATTTCCAACAGTCTCCCACTTGCACTAGAGTCAATAATCTAGTTCACATCACTATGTGATTGTAATGAATCCAACACTCATGGGGTTTATTCATATCTTTCTTGTGAGAGAGGTTTATTAGTCAATGGGTCTGAACCTTTCAGATCCATGTGTGCTTTACAAATCTCTATGTCATCTTGTAGATGCAACTACCACGCGCTACTTGGAGCTATTACAAATAACTGCTCTACTATACGAATCCGGTTTACTACTCAGAGTCATACGGATTAGTGTCAAAGTTTGCATCGGCGTAACCCTTTGCAACGAACTCTTTTACCACCTCCATAATCAAGAAAATTCCTTAGTCCATTAGTTACTAAGGATAAGTTCGACCGCTGTCATGTGATTCATTCCTGGATCACTCTGGTACCCCTTGACTGACTCATGGCAAGGCACACTTCAGGTGCGGTACACATCATAGCATACTGTAGAGCCTATGTCTAAAGCATAGGGGACGACCTTTGTCCTTTCTCCCTCTTCTGCCATGGTCAGGTCTTGAGTCTTACTCAATGCTCACACCTTGTAACACAGCCAAGAACTTTGCTGATCTATTTTGAACTCCTTCAAAATCTTGTCACGGTATGTATTCATTTGAAAGTACTATTAAGTGTTTCTGATCTATCCTTATAGATCTTGATGCTCAATGTTCAAGTAGCTTAATCCAGGTTTTCCATTGAAAAACACTTTTCAAATAACCATGTATTCTTTCCAGAAATTCTACATCATTTCTGATCAACAATATGTTAACAACATATACTCATCAAAAATTCTATAGTGCCCCCACTCACTTCTTTGGAAATACAAGTTTCTCATAAACTTTGTATAAACCCAAAATCTTTGATCATCTCATCAAAGCGTACATTCCAACCCCGAGATGCTTACTCCGGTCCTTAGAAGGATTGCTGGAGCTTTGCATACTTGTTAGCATCTTTCAGGATTGACAAAACCTTCTGGTTGTATCACATACAACCTTTCCTCAAGAAAAACATCGAGGAAACAATGTTTTGTCATCCTATCTGC